TATTGCTCTTAGCTAAATATTAATAATTAATCGACAAACAATTTTCGGTTATAAAAATAAAAAATTTATACTTCAGCAAATTCTACTTTTCTGCAAAATTCTATAACATTATACATAATTACAAAATGTAATTAAATTATACTTACTTTTGCGGGGAGCGCGCTATCTGCGATATTGTATTCTTCTATTGTTACCTCTCATTAGATGTAAAACAGAATTACAATAGCACATATAGCACGCTCTTCGAACGCAGCCATTATACTGGACGTGATTGCACTATATGAATATTGCACAGCAACTTTAACTAAAAAGAACAGACTTAAAATGGCGACGAAATGTTGTAAGTTATTCTATTTAGCAAACCTCTTCCTATATGGAAAATTTTTACTGACCACTTTTTTTCTCTATGTACTATCTAGTTAAGTCTCCTTATTCTTACTTCGTGGTTTGTCTTTTCTTTGCACTGACTGCTACTTTACAGGTTATTTTCAGGAAATAAAACAAATCTCGTATATCACGTGGCACTTGTGCAAGCACATGCGCAGAAAGAAAAACAGTACATGAGCAGGACAGAAGTATATCTTCTGTCTCTCAGATCTTGCTCACACTTCCCACTCATTACTTGAATAGGCTATTCCCACTCCATCTCTATAAGCTCTATGGATTATTGAGTAAAAAGAAACAGGAGGGAACGTATTGGTAGTGGGAGAAGGCAAATCCGGGGATGGATGTGCACAGCGCGTCACTGGGTTACGTTCATAGATGCTTTCTTCTTCTTCTTCTTTGCTTCTATGGCGCACGCCCCTGCACGTGAGGAGCAAAAGCCAGTCTGAGATAAAAGGCGATTTTTGGCGATCGTATGGTACATATACCAAAGTGTACCAAACTATAGTTCGAGTGACTTCAAAGTATAGTTTGGTACACTTTGGTACATGTACCATACGATCGCCAAAAATCGCCTAAACTGATTAAAGGTGCGATACTAGGGACTTTATTACAGGTGCTACATCTATAGGGTATTGGGTAGAAGGTGCAGGTGTAATAAAGCTGAAGGTGGTTTCAAATCTATAGGAAAGGATTACACGTTGATGTTGGTAGCGTTAACAAAAGAAAGGAGAGCGTACATAGAGCAAAAACATTTGGAAAAGGCAACCTCCTCTACACGGTAGGGAGGGCTGAAGCCGTTATGATACAAGTCGATTACTAATTTGTCAGAGTGGTCTTTGTACTTAGGACATTGGAAAAAAACGTGGTTTACATCTTGTACTGGATGACCACACGGGCACTCCGAGGAGGCCACAATGCCCTTCTGTTTCAGGTGTAGATTGACAGCTGTATGAACGTATTCTAGACACGAGTGTGACCAACGGACGGGGTAGGACCTTTTTTTTCTTTACTTTGACAAACCAAGGCTTACCCAAAGGTACGGGTTTTTTCAGGAAATACGCAGTTCCCTTGCTGGTTGACTCTTCCAGTAGTTGTCTCTTAGCCATGTCCAACGCTTCTTGCCGAAGTGTGGGGAACAGCGAGGAGACACCCAGCTCACCTTCTGAACGTGGTTCAGTGAGGGTTAAAGCGAGTTTAGCGTACCTATCGGCCATTTCGTTGCCTCTAACGTTGCTGTGTCCCGGGACCCACACCAACACCACAGACACGCCGGCACCCCTCAACTCCATCACTAACTCTTTTATGCGATACACCAGAGGGGAGTGCGCTCCTTTGGGATCGGTTGACCCCGAACAGGAGACCACACTCATCGAGTCAGAGGCTACGACGACCTTTGCGAACTTAAAATCTTGTAAGTACTCTAGGGCGCAGATAACACCCCGCGCCTCTGCGTCGAAGATGGTAGAGTTATTACTTACGCGTTCGTAGTGAACAAGTTCCGGATTCTCAGAAACTACGGCAAAACCTACCGCGGGCGGCGCCTCGTCCGAGCCCGGAGTTCGGGAGCCGTCGGTGAAGAACACCCTAGAGATGTCACGATTTCTGAGGAAGTTGCTAAGGTAGCGTTGTGGGTCTTCCGCCTGGCGTATAAGTAGCCCCGTGTCAGTGTCTACTTCGCACTTAAAGAACCTGACATGAAACGGTAGGGCAAGACTTCCCGGAAGTGAAAATCTTTTAACTTCTTTAAGATGATGTTGGAGTTCCCGGTACAAGAAAAAGAGGCCGAACACGTTAGCTGGGCACACAGGTTCCCATGTCCCGCAAGAGTCGTCAAGAAGTCGTCGAAGAGGGTGGCTAGACCTAGCACAGACCTTGCACACATATTTACTGACAAGGTACCTGTGTCTACACCGCAATGGTTGTTCTCCAACAATGTTTAACAACACACTGGTTGGAGTTGTGCGCATGAGACCAGAAACGATCCTAGCACAAGCATACTGTAAACGGTCTAGAACGACGCCTTCCCGTGTTTCAAGTGGAAACATGACTTGGCAACCCCACTCCAGGACGGAGCGCACCAGGCCCTTGTACGCGGTAAGCAGGACGGCAGGGTGGGACCCCCACCTGATTCCCGCCAACGCCTTGAAGATGTTGATACGAGGGAGAACCTTCTTTCTTGTTTCCGCGACGTGTTTCTTCCACGAGAGGGAGTAGTCTATGTGGACCCCAAGGAACTTTACCGACCACTCCACGTTCAACTTAACCCCACCTATATGGATACTAACTCCTTTTTTCCCCAAAAGCCATTTCATATTTCTAAGAGGGCAGAGAGAGTAGAAGGTGGCGACAGACTTACTTGGAGATATTTGAAGGCCGAGAGATGTTAAATGTGACTAAATTCGGTCCAGGGCCGTATTCAGTTTTTGAGCGACAACTGACACCGAGGGGTTGGAGTAGAACACCACCACATCGTCAGCGTACACAAGGGCTTTAACACCTGCGGGCAGGCAGGGCTCAACCCGTGACATGTAGATACTAAACAGTACAGGGCTAAGCACCGATCCTTGAGAAAGTCCTCGGGTTGTACTGCGGGTCTGTATACAAGTGCCAGAAGCGTACCCCTGCAGCCTCCTGAGGCTCACCACCGAGGCCAGGAAAGCCAACATTTTGGGGGGAACTCCAAAAGAAGGTAACATAGCCACTAGTGTGTCAGGTACGACACCGTCAAAGGCCCCTTCGACGTCCAGGTATACAGCCCCGGTTACCTGACGAGAGTTACTGGCAATCTTAATGCTAGAAACTAGCGTGACTAAGTTGTCGGTGCAAGAGAGTCCACGTCTGAACCCAAACTGGTGCGGGGAGAGGACGCTGTTATTTTCGACTCACCACTCTAGTCGACGACACATAATCTTTTCAACAACTTTGAGAAGATTATTAGCCAAAGATATTGGTCTACAGGCGCCTTTGCGTCCCGGCTTTGGGATGAAGATGACGAAATAGTCTCTCCATGAAGGCGGATAAGTCTGCCTACAAAACATTAAGTTAAAGAGTTTAATTATATACATGTGAAGTGTAAGTGGAAATTGTGATATAATAAAATTAGTGATAAGGTCCGGACCGGGGGCCGATTTTATCTTTAGTGTTTTTACTACTGAGAAGTATTCCGTGTGTGAAATCTGCCTATCTAGATAATCGTTGTTAAGGTTAGAGTTTAGAGGGTTTAAGGTCCCAGGCAAGTTGGAACCGTCCGAGAGAGGTTGGACCACCGGGGCAATTTTATCAAAGGCCTTACGAAAACTCTCCAGGTCAAGGCAGTTTTTATTGCCCCCTTGTCTTGTTACGGGCGCAAAAGAAAGCTTTGATAGTACTCCACACGGACCCGATATCTGAGTTTGCATGCAAGGAGCCACAATACCTACGAAAGGCCAAGCGTTTCTTTTTCCTTAGGGCCTTAGACACCTCATTAGCAATTCGACAGTAGTTGTCTAAGTTTTCTATGTTAGGGTGTGAGCGAAACTGCGCAAATGCGGTTCTTTTGCGGGCATAGATGTCGGAGCAGGAGGCATCCCACCAAGGAGTGGAGGGCTTTCTAGAAGCCCTCGAAGAAGTTGTACGAGTGGCTCCTGCATGCAGGAGAGACTTATCGATAAGGTCGATAAGCTTAGAGTAAGCAGTATTCACATCCTCCGTAGGGTCCAGAGAAGGGAGAGTGACCACCCTCTCTTGGCACTTGATCTGAAACTCTTCCCAGCGTACCTGTTTCACAGAGTAGTAGGGCCGACAGGGAATGCGACCAGAAAACCTGTCGGAGATTGTGGTTACCACAGGAAAATGATCACTACCATAATGAAATTCGCACACATCCCAGGTACAGAGAGGTGCGAGTACATCGGAGACAACGGTGAGATCTATTGCGGAGGACCTAGAAAGATCCGCGGAGGCCCATGTGTTACTGCCGTTGTTTAGAACTACCCAAGAGGAGTTGATTAATGCGTGTTCTAAGTTTTTCCCTTTTCTATTAGAGAGAGAGGGAGTACTACACCACAAGGGACTTTTCCCGTTAAAATCTCCACAGATAATCGCTGGTTGGTGGTTGGCACTTAAGAGGAAAAAACTTTTCCAAAAGTCAGCCGCTGTATAGTTTACAGAAGCTCTAGGAGGGCTGTACAGCGAGAAGACATGGAGAGATTGAGAGTTCGGAAGGAACAACTCAACAACTGCGAGTTCAACGTAGTTGTCTTTACACAGGTTTATCAACTGAGGGATTTCGGGGATACAAAATTTGATATGTTTACCTATTGCTATGGCAACTCCTCCACCTCTACGGTTGCGATCTTGTGATATGATTTCATGGTTAGGTAAGGTGACAATAGAGTTGCCATCGAGGTGCGTTTCACAAAAGGACGCCACATCAGCTTTGCAGTCCTGGAGTAGCAGGCGGGCCGCATCGAGATTACGAACCAAAGATCTGCAATTCCATTGGACTATGGTTAAAGATTTCATGGTGTGCAAGGTTTGACTCTAAGATTTTTGAGTACCATAGAGGTACTTTTGTAATTCTGTAATGATATTTGTCATGTCTGTGTTGCTGAGCTGAGAAGGGTTTGTACTGGGAGTGACTTTTAATTTTTGAAAGGCACCGATTAGGATTTCTTTATCTAAAAAAAGTTTGGAATGTTCGTCTTCAGAGGAGTTACGTCCGGAAGACATTTTCTTTGCGATGGAGTCTATGAACGAGTGGTTAATTGTAGATCTTTTGTTTGATGAAGAGGAGGAGGAGTTTACCTCCCCGTAGTTTTTCCTCCACACAGGGGGAAACCGTACGGGGGGCGTAGGGGCTTTCAGCGAGGTAACCTCTGCATAGGAGAGGTTAGAAGCGAGCGAGAAGTCGTAAGAGGGGCCACTCGAACCCCCAGGTGAGGGGGTAGACCCCACCCGGGAGGAGGGCACTCTCGGACTCACAACAGATGTTCTTTGAGGTGCGGAAGGGCCCGGTTTCTCACACCCCGAAAACCGAAAGACACCCCTACCCGGAAAGAACTCACCAAGCGTGGAAAGCGGAACCGAAACACTAGACTGGTGAGAGTTTAACCCAGAGAGTGTATTTTCTTCATCATACAGGCTGGCTGCATCACGGAAGGAAAGATCCCTGTGTGCCATAATTTTGTGTATCTCACGTTGTCTCTGGAAAACAGGGCAGCGGAGTTCCGAAGACTGATAACCGGTATTACCGGTCCTGAAACGGACACAGTTTATGCACTCGTCCAGAACATTTGGACAACTTGGTTTAGAGTGGCCCGACTTGCCACACTTTTCGCAGAACCTGCGTTTTTCGTCTCCAGACTGTTTGCAAGAATGGACCGTATGCCCGAATCTCTGGCAAAATTCACACCGTCTAACTTTATAAACGTAAGGGGTTAGGGGAAGACGTTTCCCAACATACAAACAAGACGGAGGAACCACCGGGGAGCGGAACCTCAAGATAAGTTGGTTTGTATTTACGTACCTAGGACTAGAGGTAGCGCTTTCCTTTTCCCTACGAGTGATCCTGACAGCCTCAAAAGGAGGAACCCACTCCTGACCCCACCCAGGGGGAGGGGCGGAAACCGGCCAACAACTCTTCTACAGTTTCCTCCTCGTCAACGCTCTTCAGAACAAATTGCTTGACCACCCTAAACGATGGGACATGCGCTGTCCACTGTTCGTAGGGTGTAATTTTATCAGCGACATCCCTGAAGGCCTCAACAAACCGATTCGCATCTCCGCCTGTGGGGAAGCAGACAGAAAACTTATTCCTACCGATCACAGGCAAGTCAAAAGCACGCTGAAACTGGTTCAAAAGAAGGCGATTGAGCCTCTTGCCCAGGTCAATGGCGCTGAGCGAGGTTCCTTTTTTACCTGTATCTTGATTCTTATCGTTTTCGTGACCGTCCCCTCCAACGGAGAAGGGCAACGGACGGCACGTCTCTACGTGCACCATGAAAGGGCCCTTGGAGTCCCTGTGGTACCGATTGAGTACAAGCTGTCTCTGCACGCTGGACATGGCCGAGAAAGTACGCTTGAGGGGGGGGGTCGGACCAACGCCGTCCCTCTTCCTCGAGGATCGTGCCTCCACAGGCCTGGTGGAGGCCGAAGAGCAGGAAGGGGAACCAGCCGGGGATACTTTGCGAACCACACGATCCCCGCCAGGTTTCGCGCCGAGCGCAGCGGCCTGGCCGTTAAGAGAGGGGGTTATGTCTTCTTCTGGCGGGAAATCCGCCCCAGACATATCTACGTCGACCGTTTCTTCGGTCATCGTTGTAGTCACGATACACATGTGTTTTACCGTGTCCAATTTGCACAATACTGGCACGCGACCAAAGTTTAAACGATAGTTAAACCTTACTGTAGGTTTCAACCACGCAAAAGTTTTACAACTTTACTTTGAAAGAAAGGCAAGATGGCGTCCTCAGACGAAATCCACAGGTCGCCAGACCACAAGGTCGCGACTGTCGTGAAAACGACAGATTTAACGGGGAACTTGAGTTCCAGAACTCTGAGCTTACTTACAAAGTAAAGTTCCAATTGTTTTCGCTACGTTTTTGTAACTCAAAACAGGATATAGGAAACTAAAACAGAACTGGGATACGCGGGAGATGTAGCTCGTGCGCAGTCTCAGAACGGAATCTTCATAGATGCCTGTATGCTAACCATAGAGAGGACCGCGCAAGGAGGATCGACAAAGAGAGATATATTTTGTCCATATTTTGTCTCAACTGTGGCTCCCCCACCCCGTGTTCTCTGTTATTCTCTTCTATAAGAAGTGCCCACAATTGAAACAGAAAAATATATCTCTCTTTGTCGATCCTCCTTGCGCTCGCATGGCCTTTCCATGAGTATAAGCCCTATGGTTACGTTCCAAAATCCTATCTTGGTAACCATAAACTATAGCACACGTGACGTGAAATATAGCATTTTAATAACCAAGGTAAAATTTTAGAACGTAACCCTGAATGGCAGAATAGACGCGGAGATCGGAGGGCAAACGGGCCCATAGACTTATCAAGGGGCACGGTAGTGACTCGCGCCAAGTTCACACGCATCGAAGTAGCGCTCAAACTGCGCGAGCACAATATACTATGTGCCTATTATACGCGAAAATCAGGCATTTCAGTGGAGGGAAGATTTTAAATCAGCTATTTTTCACTAGCGACTGAACCGATCAACTTCTTTTTGGACTCGTTCGATTCGCGTTGAAAAATTGAAGAAAAAAGTATTTTCGCGTTTTTGTGGTTTGTGGCTTGTTAGCAGAGATAATGAAAGATAAACAAAA